AAACAGGGCATGAAAAGGCATTCCCTTTTAATCAGTGGGTATAGGATTTGTTATGCACATGCTTAGAGTCCAAAAATAAAACAGGAGCATTAATAAAATATGTTAATTAAATACACAGAGAGAAAAAACAAAACAAAACCAACTCATATTTAGTGATCTTACTGTACTATTCAGAATCCATTTTCCTTTTGCATGCTGGCCACCCTTTCCCTTGACTCGAAGGATTTCATTATCCCCGAGCCATGCTACTTCAGAGCAACTGGAGCTAAATTCCTCTAGCTGTTTTGCAGCTCATCTGTGTCACTCCTTCATTTTCCAGTGATGCCCATTCACTGGCTTGTCTTACACGATTTGGGATTTAAGCCGGTTGCTGCCCTTCCAGGCATCACTGTTTCTCTGGCCTTTAGGCATCTGCTTATTCCTTCCTGTGTTAGCCACTTCCTCACTATCTTTCACCACTTAATTCTTTCTCTTTTAGCCTTGGTTGCTCATTTTTTGCTACCTGAAGCTTCTTCTACTTTGTGCCATGCTACTTCCAAGTGCAGCCTCCTGAACTGCTGGGTTAATATTTGACAGCGTGGCTGGGCAGAGGCGGTGGGGCTTTGCCATTCTGCTCGCTGAGCCCTCCTCTTGCTAACACTGCTGCCAGTGTAACTGTGATGGTAAGTCAGGATTTAAGCTTAAAAATGCTTCATTGGGGTGGGACAACTACGGGCTTGGCTGTGCAAGAACATGAAAGACTTTCTCTCTACTGACTCTCCATGTTTGCTGACCATGCTTTTTGTCTGGGTTTGTTTTGTTATTCTCTTAAACACTTCCAGTGGCTGCAAATTCCTAAGCAGTGAAGACCGTAAGATGCAAACTCCTTCAAATCAGTGCAGTCTGTTGGGTAACTTTTTAAAAAAAACATGTTACCATGATACTGGCTTTTACTGTACTCACAGCCCTAGGGGTTATTTCATGCCTTGATGTGACCATCCTCATTCCAGCTTGTGGCTCAAAGCTTGGCAATATGGATATCCAGGATAACAGTGTTCTTCCTTCATCATTTGCACCATATTCCTGGGCACAACACTGTGAAATTCTTACAAATCAGTATTTAATTGTATTTATCTAAGCCAAGCTGTGCTAGTTGCTGTACAGTTATGCTAAATCTGGGACCCAAGTTGTTGAAAACTTCCTGCACAGCAGCAAAGTGGCAAACGCTGGTGTTGTCTTCTTGGGCATGGCACCACCACCACCTCTAAAAGCTCCTCCTGCCAATCATCCATGCAGCAACTGGTGCCTATCAATACGGCTCTCGCAGTAAGCCAGCGTGAGACTGCCAAGGTGACATCCTCGCCCTGCTGAGGTTGCCAGTGGTGTTGACACTGACTGCAGAGGGATGTAGGATTCCTCCCCCCTTCTTCCCGCTCTCCTCACCCTCACACAGACCTCAAAGGAGAGACGTAATAGGTAATAATTGCCTTTTTTCACTTACCCATGGTTTACCATCTACCTGTATAAGGTTCCTTGCTCAAATTATATTTTATTATTCATAGTTAATAGAAGTAGAAATATGCACTGGTTATCAGCAGATCAATTTTAAATCTCGTTTTCTCTCTCGTCTGCATTGTTCAAAAGGAATCATTAGCAAAGCTTAACACCAAGGCTATAAGCTTCCTAAAAGGACATGAAATTACTTATGTAGTTTTTTTATGACAGCATATAAATGTTATAAATACAAATGATTGCAAACAACATCTGCCTCTGACCGAATCTGTCCGTTGTTTTGCAACAACTCCATCGCATGCCCTCCATGCTAACTCCTGTGGTGGTATAATCACCTCCCAAAGACAGGCGGCGATCATTTTATTGCTTGATATGTCCAGCAATTTAAGAAGGTAGCCAGAAGAGGCTGATAGATTTTTTTTTTTTTTCCAGAATTTATGTTGTTCTCTCGTCCTCGTCTAAATTTTCTAAATAACAGAGGCCATAGGACTTGAATTAAGTCCTCCTAAAAATTCAATGCCTGTTACTAATTAACATGGATGTTTTTGTTTCCCTGTGCTGTAGCAAGTATTTGTAATTTATGTAAACATTGTAAAATTCAGGTACAGCTCCCCACACCTGCAGTTTTTCAGTAGCAAAGCATTATTAGCATGTCAGGTTCATAAAGAGTATCTGTAATGTGGCCAGGACAGTCTGGCTTTGTGTCTGCTGGGGCTTCTTGCATTGTTTTTGCTGCAGCAGAGCATGGCCTTAGGCAGCAATGCCACTCTTCCTCTGTTGTCATTGCAGAAATAATTGTAGTCGCTTTGGAGCTGTAGCACTGTTTTCAGTTGTACCTAATTTGTATCAAGGGAGTTGATGTGTTGTACAAGTGGGAGCGGAGGAGTGGTACTTTCAGGGTTAGAGCACAGATGCCCGTTAGAGCTGTTCGGATGCCCGTGCTCCTGTTCCTGTGGGCTGCTCCTGCCTCAGAGCAGGGCTTTGGGTCCAGCTTTCAGCAAGCTCGCTGATGGGAGCTGCGTGTTGGGTCTCCTGCCAGCAGGAAGCAAGAGTTTCTGTCCTTGGGAACATCCATGAGGCAACAAAATGTTGGGGTTGGCCGTGTTCTGGCACGTGGTGCATGGGGAGAGCACCCACAGGGGCCCACCTGTGTGTGCTGGTACAAGGGGACATGGCAGGAGAGTGGAGAAACAGCATGATATTGCCCGCTCCCCTGGTTGCCCCGGGTGCAAGGCATTTCAAAAGTGTAGGAAAAACCAAAGTTCATAAAGCAATGCTATTTTTGTCATGCTTTATTGATGTCTAATTCATTTTATGGCTATTTTTAAAGCCACAATCCTGCAAATTCCCAAGCTGCGTATTGCTATTCTTGCAAGCGGCCCTGTTGACTTCGGATGGGCTCCCTCCATGAGCGAGGGATGCGGAGATCAGCTGAATGCTCTCCCTCTCACTCTGTGAAACACAGATACTCCTAGATCAAACACCAGCTCGTGGTCACCCCGCTTCGTCGAGAAGCTGGCCAAGAGCTGCCTACCAGGAGTCACCTGCAGTGCCCAAACAGTCCCCACCTCAGCCTCATGATCATTTTTTCTCTTGTTTCATTTTGCTGTTTGTCACCTTAGTAGAACCAAATAATACTGTTTTTAATTCCTATACTAAGATAGCAGGTAGAGCTGTTTTCTGCACTATAGAAAGATGTTCATTTCTTCACAAAGAGCTGTTCATAAAGCTCTAGTGAATATTTTTACAGAAGGAAACATTTGCCACAGTATAGAGTGGTTTAAATATTTGCAAGAATTCTAATAGGCGATGATTTTAATTCAAATGAAGCTACTGCTAATCAGGAGACAGAGCTTATGCAGAACTTGGTCTTGCAAGCAAAACATGGTATAATACAGCCACTTAGCATAATTGCTACATAAGAATAGGATCTAGCAAAGCATTGAAGTGAATGTTTGACATTTAAGCATCTGGTTAGAGTTAGTGGGGCTATCATTTTACCTTTATGTCAGAAAAACCCTGCCATATTAAAGTTTTATTTCCCAGGTTTAGAGCCCATGAGCTTTACGTAAAAATAAGGTTTTATTTTATATGAAAATGTGCTCTGTCATAGTCAGATTTTTTTTATTCTTTCCCTCATTCGCCCTCAAACGTGGGTGTCTGAGGCTGACACGTTGTCTCAGCAAATTAAGTCAAGCTGGAAGGAAGGGTACAGCGTTACAGCAGAGCAGCAAATAAGATTTACATTTTCAAGGAAGAGTAGTAATTAGGCCATTGCATGTTTTATATCTTCATGTTTATTTTCAAAGCAGTATATCAAAATAAGCATAGATGTAATGAGACATAAGTGGTCCAACGAGCAGTCGGGGTTCATCAAGTAAAAACTACAAATTGCTCTTCAGTTTTGCTGCCACCCACAGAGTTTACATCTTTAAAATACCAGCAGGCAGGTGCTCTGGCCAGAGCTAATTGGGTCTGTAGTTAGGGATGTACTGGGTTTCTGTAACACAAATTATGAAGGGAATAGGCCTAATTTTGCGTGATACAGTACTTGGCATCATGTTACGGACTTCACTTCAGCACATGAGGTATTTGGTGCTTTGGGAAGTAAAATGAAGTTTTGAGCTGGTTATGCTGGTGCAGATGGTTATAACTGCTTGACTTGAGGTATCCAGAGCAGTGCCATGGGGGGATAAGCAGACAAGCTTTGAATGCAGCGTGCCAGGTCCCTGAGACAGCGAAGATCTGAACTCCTCCCAAAGTACGTTTTTTCTAACGCCATTGTGCATAATGTAAAAGATGGGGTCTTGTAATCAATGGTTTTGAAAATCAGAAAGATCCATTGCTGCTGCGGGAAGAGGATGGTCTAGAGGGTCCCAAGCTCTAAATCCTCATGACCCCAAGAGTGTCCTCCCTCCGGCTGCGTGTACAGTGTCTGTACGCTGGTGTGTGTTAGGTAAAGCTCCTGCTCTCCCTCTCTGTGCTGAGCAGGCGGCTTGGACAGTAACCGTTATTCTTACCTGTATTTCTGCATACAGTCTTGCAATGTTTGCCTACAGATGATGCTGCTTTTCCAGCAGAAGTAGTGTGACCACAAAATCAGCTGACTGGAACTGCAATTATATGTTAATTTAAGGTTTTCAACCTTTAAATGCCTGTACTATTCTTCCTATTTTCATAGCTTTCTTTATAATGAGAGTACTTGTGTAAATTGAGCTAGATTTAAAAGAAAAGAAGTCCCTGGAGTTAACCCTCTCTTTTAAAAAATTTTTTCACTTCTTTACTTCACCCTCCTATCCCAAAGATGCAGTCCTTCCCTAAACCCTGCTACAGTACTTCATATCCAGATACATACTGTAAGTATGGTAAGAGAAAACAATCCAGAACATAACCCTTTGGCTTTCTTCCCCACAGATCTGATGGCACACAAGCCTTGCTGCAGCTCTCACGAATAGAAAACAGGTCGGGTATTTCCATCTGCCCTCTTTTGAATTGCATCAATTCTGATTATGAGCCAGAAAGAAGAAGAAATGGAGGACAGATCCCCGCCACTCTGTGTTACCTGCGGCCAAGCGCATTTACCGGAAGAAAACCACTTGTACAGCTACACCGAAGAAGTAGATGATGATCTGATATGCCACATTTGCCTGCAACCTTTGCTTCAGCCATTAGACACGCTCTGTGGCCACACCTTCTGCACAGCCTGCCTTACGAACTTCCTTGTGGAAAAGGACTTCTGCCCCATGGACCGCAAGCTTGTGATTCTCCAGACGTGCAGGAAGTCCAGCATACTAGTGAATAACCTCCTGGACAAGCTAATGGTTAGCTGCCCTTTCACAGAACACTGCTCAGAGGTCGTGCAACGCGGTCACCTAGAACAGCATTTCCAGACCCAGTAAGTTGTTGGTGCTGAACCCTTTTTTCACTCTTTTTCTCAAGGAGAGGAAAAAGTATCTTCAATCAGTGCTGATAAAATAGACAGTTAATATAAAGAAAGATTTATAGATTTCAGTCCCAATTAATGCCTACAGTATCATAAATTTAGAGCTGAATTTAATGCATTTATTTGACAATATCTCTTTTTTTAGAATCAAATGCATTCAAGGTACTTCATGCTATTGTTAGCAGTTCTGGGTGGATACCTTGTGGTTAGCTGCATAATGGAAGTGTGTATTTAGTCATCCAAAGAGATCTGTGAGTTTTGGGAAGCTGAGCTATCATAAATATTTTAGTAGTACATTAAGGATTTTATAATTGCCCTTTCTCCAATCCTTTTTTGAATCGCAAATGACCTATATGAGAAGTAGAGCAGAAAATATTCCGGTTTGGTATTGGTCTTTGGAGCCAAGCGCTCCTTTCTTCCAGGTGAGCACTTACTGTGCATCGCATCGTGGGGCTCACGGAGCCTCAGCTTCTCTGACACGGTGTCGAAGAGTTCCCTGGCTGGACTCACCCTCCAGGCTTACCTCTCCTGGTGGCCAGGACACCCTCTCTCTTGCCTCTGGGAGAGACATCTCCAGGGAGCAGTTTGGTTCCTCTGTAAGGAGAGAACTGGTGACGGATGATCCTCTGTTTTGCAGGGTAAAAGCACGTGCTGCTGCTTTTGTCTTGCATCTTCTGTCTTTTGAAATGAAGGCAGAAGAGTTGAGAGAGACATTCAGGGCTGTGATTTCTGACAGCAGACAAATGCTTTGGCATAGCCCAGGTAACAGCACCTCAGATTTGAAGAGATGTGGGGTCTAAGAGATGCCCTTTTATGTGGGCTGTATCTGTTGTCCAGTGAAATGACTTCCCCTGTGGTTTGCAGGTGAGAGTTGTGTCCCTAGGTGTGTGCTTCTGCCTGTGCGTTGTGGAAGAAGCCCTGGGCAACCAGCACAGGGCTCCAGGCTGCTGCTGAGGGCGCATTCCTG